CAAAGAGCTCCGATTTAGGGTATATTTACAGAATTCCGGGACAAGCCGATGAGGTTTCTTGACTCGTTTGCTTGAATATGGTTGTAGAGATGATAGCCTCCCTGCTCTGATGATGTCAGTCTCATAATTGTGGATGACAGCTTAGCACGTTTTCACCGAAATCGAAGGAGATTACTTCGGTACTGCTGTAGTATAGCCAAGCGACGGCTGGCGAGAGAGCAATGCGCCGTCATCTTCTGATCGAATCTCTTCTCAAATTACTTCTAATCGAAATGGAAGTGAGCTCAATATTACCTACAATCAGACTTAAACGGGAAATATATGCATGCACGCATGCATTTGGCTGTGTATGTATTTGTATGTGTGTGTATGAGAGAGAGAGAGAGAATTTGTTTGTATACCATTTCGGTACTCTTCACCTTTTTATACACTAACCAAGTGACAACGTCGCATCAAGTCCACAGCACGGCATCAACCTCTGACCTTATTCTCTTTCTCCGCTCCTGCTCCGGAAAAAGTGGCTCCTCTTCCTCTGTTCTACAAGTCCATTTACACCTTCTTAATTTGTTGGGGGCACTTTTATTTCGTATGAAAGTGCATGAAAAAAAAGATTCGTAGAACGGATGAATCCCGATTTCTATCTGGGTTTTTACTTTTCTTTAGCTTAATTGAGTCTATATAAGAGGTAAGATAGAGCGGGATATTCTTCTTGGCCTATTACAAGAATGAGTCCCAGCTCTGATGATGTCCATCGAATGATGCACGAAAGCTCAGTCCGTTTTCACCCGAAACGAGGGAGGAGGTCTCGTGGACTGCGTCAACCTGAAGCCAAACAGCTGCAGTACCACGCGGTTCAACCGTCCTCTTCCGGCGAGATCGACCTACGAATCTCTTTCTCGTGCACCTTTCAACAATGTTAGCTCAGGAGATTAATCGAAACCCACTTTCTCTTCGTATCTTCTTCATTTAATTTTCACTTATACGGTCATATAGCTCTTGTAAGAATGGGTTCCAGCCTTGACAATTTGCATCGACTGACATGACACTGTTACTCGAAACAATGCAAGCCGTCTGGTGGTCGACGTTACAGAGAAACCAAACGACGGTAAAACAACGAGAACCCACCGTCATCTTCTCGTGAGATCCGCCTGCTAATCTCTTCATCAGGCACTTTTAAACGAAACGAAAATTCCCCATTTGACATGGAGGTGATATTTTGCACAATTATATATTTATGTGTATGTGTGTGTGTGTATGTGTGTGGCAACACATTTTATACTTTATCTCCACAGTATGATACCAACATCCGATCTTATTCCCCTTCTCCACCCCTCTTTCACATCGACAGACGGACTCGAAACAGGAGGCTTCTTTTCTCCTGGCCGACTCTGCCTCGAATCACCCGACGCATCCGGACTCGCCACTGCCACCCTACTACCAGGTTGCCAACCCCCGCGCGCCCAGCTGTAACGGATGCCTCTCCACTCCGATTGCGGATACCTCTCTTTCCCCCCGTTTACTCAATTTCTCTCCGTCCCCCACTCCTCACGGCCTCAATCACACGGACAATGGTCGCCAGGGCGACGCATCCTTTCACCCTCGGGCCGACGGATTTGCAGGGACCGGCTCCCTCTCGCCTCCATCACCAAGACGACGGCCGGAACCGTTCGAGTCGGACTCGTCAAGCGGTTCACCTCGTCGGTCGGGAAGCGGCTGTTGCGGTCAGTTCTCCACATGTTGTTCAACGTCCAGGCCAGCGGAGAGCCGATCAAGCGTCTGTCGACGGCTGTTGTTGGTACGTGAAAGTGACTTTTATTCATCCCCTTAACGACGCCAGAGGTGTCTGCCAAACAGACCACTTCCCGGTCCTTCTGTGACAATCTCCAGTCGACATACACTACCTCAAAAGAGTGTCAGAGCTTAGCCTGTTTCCGTGATTGTCTACGGATTATGCTCCTTCATGTTCCGAAGAAAGGGCAGGTGGTATGACGTACATTTCATTTGGAAGCGGCCGACAAAGAGACTTGAAAGATTCGGGGAATAACGTTGATGCTTGTGAGGTTGATGGACTCGTCTTTCCTATTGGTACGCCGGGGTTTTATTAGTTTTCTGGTTCACCATCTGTGTTGTCTGATGTTGTAGCATTTGGTGTTATGTAAATAATTGTAAAATGGCTGATAATCGTTTGCAACCCTTTCGGGGGTGGATAGTCCGTCGGCGAGGTGAATTTTATCACAATTTCTTCCTTAATTGTGTGCTTAATTTGGATGGATTCAACTCTATCCAAAGTTGCAAAAATTTCCAACAAGTGTCTTTCATAAACTAGCATGTGAACTAATTTCACACAAAACGCACTAGGTTATGGAAATACCATTCGGGAAAAACTGGATTAGCGATAGACGCTCAGATTGAAGGAACAACTAAAAAGTGAACACCATAAAGCACTCGACTCGTGATAAAATTGCATAGTGTTGGTGCCAGATTAGGCTGAGGACGATGTAGGAAAATATCCCACAGGTTAGCCATAACCCGAACTGAGGCAGAGGATAGAAAGATTCTCGATATATATATATATATAGTCAGTCTTGCCCACACAGGTCAGCATATAAGTACTTAGATCAACATTGAAAATATCGAACCAGAGCATTTGATAAATAAATAAATAAAAATAAAAATATTTAAGTATATGTCATAATATTGTTAATTTTATTCGAAAGTATGAAGACCAAGATGGTGTGGCCTTTTGTGTGGTCGCAGTCTCCTTTCGTTGCATAGAAGTTGTTTGACCTTGTTTTCGCAACTCGGTCATATTGGTAGGAGTACTTAAAGGAACGCACCTTGTCAGGAGTCCATTGTATGCATGATCATTTCCAAAGTCGGATCGTGCACGTGGTACATTCCCAGACGTTTCGCCGGCATCGTAGTCGTCATCGTCAATGAGTCTTGCCATTCTTAGCACCACACTACAACTGGTAAAATGTGTGCTAAACAGTTGAGGTATCTCTCCTTCTGCCCTGGGCTATTGACCTTTCCTATGTAATCGTATCACGCCTTCAACATCACAATTTTTACTGTGTTTATCCATTCTGCCTCCAGTATGTCCTCTTCTCGCTCTTAAATCTCCAGCAAGGTGCTTACCACCTTCTCGCCTGAGATGTTTCTGTGCATGGATTGTACATCGAAACATACCAACAGTTCCGTTTCCACCAACCAAATGTTCTATATCCTTTGAGAAAATTCATATGAATTCTTGACGGTATTCGAGAGTCTGTCATTTACTTCATTGACCCTTAAGCAAATGAATTTCGCTAGTTTATGCAATGCTCCATGCTTGTTGATTAGTATTAGTCTTAGAGGATTCCCTTTCTTGTGTATCCTTGGTAGTCGGTAGGCTGTCGGTGGTCTTGCGTCATTTTTGATTAAAGATTTAATGATCCATCTGTCAATTTCCCCATTAATATGCATTTCCTTTAGCATATTCTTCAGTGTCCCGTTGGTCTTCGTGGTTGGATCTTACCTTAAAATTTGATAAGTGTTCCGGTCGCCAGGGATACTTTCCATTTTCTCCGTGTATTGTTTCTTGTCCATTAAAAGCGTCGCCCCCTCCTTATCCGTCATAGTTTTTTATTTTTTTCGAATACCAGCCAGTTTGCTCCATTTTATCAGTTCTTGATGTGTCAGGATCCGTGGAATTATTTCCAGTTCTATCTTCCTCCTTGTATCTTCTAGATATTTATCCGGTATGTTCACAACCTCTATACAACGAAAGGAGACTGCGACCAAACAAAATGCCACACCATTTTGGTCTTTATACCTTCGAGATGCAACTGGAAATAATCCGACGGATACAGACACATCAAGAACCGATAAAATGAAGCAGATTGGCTGGTATTCGGAAATAATTACAGATGAATTATCAAATAGTAATTCAGGTCGATAAGGGAGGAGAGAATGTTGTAAAGGAGAGAAAACATTACTCGGAGAAAATGGAAAGTATCCTAAGCGATTAGAAAACTTATCAAATACTAAGTTAGGTAATTAGTTAGTTAGTGATCGAGTTAATTAGTTAGTTGTTTAGCTAGTTAGTTAGTTAGTTAGTTAATTAGATAGATAGATAGATAGATAGATAGATAGATAGATAGATAGATAGATAG